ATTGCAAAAGGCGGCCTTATTAGAAACTGCTTCCATCCTGCGACGATATCTGTAATACCATCAAACATCCACATCTGCCTATCCCAGGTCCTGGGTAAGGACTCGATAGGTAGACAAAATGCCAAATCCAGTCTGAACATCTGGCTGACTGTGCGATGATCGATAATAATAATAATAATAATAATAATAATAATAATAATAATAATAATAATAATAATAATGTTGGTAGGGACCTTGGAGGTCATCTAGTCCAACCTCCTGCTCAGGCAGGAAACCCTATACCATTTCAGACAAATGGCTGTCCAGTCTCTTCTTAAAAACTTCCAGTGTTGGAGTATTCACCGCTTCTGGAGGCAGGTTGTTCTCCCTGTCAGGAAATTTCTCCTTAGTTGTTGGATGCTTCTCTCCTTGATTAGTTTCCATCCATTGCTTCTTGTCCTGCCTTAAGGTGCTTTGGAGAATAGCTTGACTCCCTCTTCTTTGTGGCAACCCCTGAGATATTGGAACGCTGCTATCATGCCCCCCCCTCATCCTTCTCTTCATTAAACCAGACATACCCAATTCCAGCAGCCGTTCCTTATATATTTTAGCCTCCAGTCCCCTAATCATCTTTGTTGCTCTTCTCTGTACTTTTTCTAGAGTCTCAACATCTTTTTTACATCGTGGTGACCAAAACCAAATGCAGTATTCCAAGTGTGGCCTTACCAAGGCATTGTAAAGTGGTATTAATACTTCACTTTGGTGGGAAGGTAACAGTGTTCCACGTTTCACCGTATGCTTTGCTCTGTGGCATGTTGTCAGGCTGGCCACATGACCATGGAAACATCTTCACATCTTCAGATAGCATAGGCTCAATGGCTTAAAGAAACAGAGATGAGCACCACCCTCTAAAGTCAACTACAAGTAGTAGAGTAAAAACCTTCTTACCTTAGAGCAGTGTTTCCAACTTGGGCCACCTCAAGATGCATGGATTTCAATTCCCAGAATTCTTCACAATGGCCATGATGGCTAGGGCATTCTGGAAATATATACATTTGGATATATTTGGGGGGGAAATTGCTCTAGAAGCATGACTTTACAACCTCAACAGTGTTCAAAATTAAATATGTGCAAGATGACCATTTCCCTCTCAATATACTAATTTGAATATATTTTGCTACCGTGTAGAGTAGGGTTCCTCAACCATGTTGACTTTTAAGATGTTTGGACTTTAACTGACTGGGGAATTCTGGGAGCTGAAGTTCACATTAAAGTCAAGGAACCTTGAACCTCAGCTTCCAGATCTAAAAAGGCAAATGTGATTCAGACCATCTTTCAGCTTCTGAATGACCTAAAAGCAATGATTCTCAACCTTGTCAACTTTAATTTGTGTGGACGTCAACTTCCAGGATTCCCCAACCAGAATGGAGAATTTTGGGAGTTGAAGTCCACCCATTTTAGAGCAGCCAAGGTTGAGAAACCCTGGTATAAAGGCTGTAAATTCACTCCGAAGCCCAAATCTATTATTCTGACTTTAAACTTTTGCTTTAAACAGTTGCCTCTCAAAGATTGAATGATTGATGAGTTAACTCACTACCTCATTATTCAACATATCAACGGGGATTATGGATTAAACAATTCAGCTAAATTAACTGATGTTTCAGATCAAATCTTGGCTTTTGGATATTTGAAGCCTTCTCTGGAAGCTGATGAGAAACTGTCTAAAAATGCTGAATCTATTCCATTGATCCCCTATACACCGAGCAGTCTTCTGTTTCCATCATAGTTATTATAGGTCTGACAATTTCCTCTTTGCACTCTTCAGCAGGAAACAGTATATCACAGTGATGGCGAACCTTTTAGAGACCGAGTGCCCAAACTGCAACCCAAAACCCACTTATGCATCGTCGGGTGCCGGGTGGGTGTGGCCCATTGAGTGGGTGTGGCCCATTGGGTGGGCGTGGCTGCGGTGGTAACAGCAGACTGGGTGGGACTAAAAAATTCAATCAATCAATTCCAACTTGCAAGATCCTTTTTTTTCCTGCAAGAAGTTGAAATTGACTGATTGATTGAACCTTTTTTTTTTTTGCACACGGCGGCAGAGGCCTAAAGCGGAAAAGGTTTTATAAAATCCAGCTGAAGGCCTAGGACTGGGGCGACAGTGCGTGTGCCCACAGAGAGGGCTCTGAATGCCGCCTCTGGCACCCGTGCCATAGGTTCGGCACCTCTGGTATATATTTTCCTTACCATTATTTCTTAAAAGTACTAGGAATCGGGAGGCGTTTTTACTTCAACAATCAAAGAAAGTATTTCCACTGGATTTATTTTATTAGTCATCCAGTATTTTCAGGGAAATGGTCATCTGTTAAGCGTAGAAAACAGCACTGTACAATTGCATAATTTTCTGAATGCTGTGACATCTTTCAGAAACAGCCACTGAGGGCAATCAATGGCTGAGTGCATATACTTGAATGAGGCATCTATGATTAAAACATAGAATATCAGAGTGAGGACAATTAACCAGTGGAACAGCTTGCCTCTGGAAATCATGGGGCTCCATCACTGGAGATTTTCAAGAGGAGGATAGACAGTCACTTGTCTGAGATGGTATAGGTTCTCCTGCTTGAGCAGAGGGCTGGACTAGAAGACCTCCAAGGTCCCTTCCAGTTCTATTCTATTCAAGTTCTAGTCCAACCCCCTGCTCAAGCAGGAGATCCTATAACATTTCAGACAGGTGGCTGTCCAATCTCTTCTTAAAAGCCTCCAGTTATGGAGCACCCACAGCTTCTAAAGCAGTGGTTCTCAACCTGTGGGTCAGGACCCCATTTGGGGTCGAACGACCATTTCACGGGGGTCGCCAAACAACGCAGTCCGCCATTTTTTTCCCCTTTTCCTTAGCTGTGCTACTCCCTTTTATTCTATTGGCTTTGAAAGCCAATAGAATAGACTCTCTTGAATAGAGTCTAATTCTATTGGCTTTCAAAAGCCAATAGGAATTGTCCAGGGTGTCTCTGCCCTGCTGAGCCCGCCAAAAGTCCCATTCTGCAAACGGTGCTGCACCAGTTGAGTAGTCCTCGACTTACGACCGGTTGAGTAGTCCTCGACTTACAACCGGTTGGGGGGGTCACGGCATTAAAAAGGTTGAGAACCACTGCTGTAGATGGACGGAGAGAGAAAAACAAGAAAGTCCAGTTGCCTCATGAAAAAGCACTTTGGGGACATCTTATGGGTTCTTTGATTTTGGCTTGATGCCTGATGTAAAGCCACTTTCTCTGGCTTGAAAGCCACAATGTGAACTCTAAAGACATCCACTGGTGCTAACAATGCTTATGGAAAGTAGGGCTTGCTGTCATGAATGTAATTTCTCTGTTAAAGGGAGGGGGGGTGAAGTGGGGAGGATGAGAATTTTTTTTTTCCTCCCAGTGGCTGTTAATGCTATTTTTACCCTGGCATGTACCTCCAATAAAAGTGCAGAACAAGCTCGCGTAGATCAAAAACAGTATCCCAATCAACCAATTTGGTGGAACATCAGTCAGCTGTGCCAGTTGAGTAAAACAGCTCTCAGAATCATGCTACCTGGACTGATAATGAGAAAAAAATGAGGGGGGGGGGGAAATCTCCTATCTCTTCTTCTGCCTATGTTAATTTCTTTTATTTCTCTAAGCCAGTGGAGGGCTTGGGGAAAAAAAAATTGGTAATGGAATAACACTTCCAATATAAACTGTTATTAAGAAGAAAAATAGGTCTAGTGAAATTGTAAGCATTCTTACTTGAAAGCTAAGAAAATTAATTCACGCTGTGCTAATCCAATATACATTCAGGGTTTTTTTTTTAATTTGTATTATTTTGATTTATGTAGCTGCCCAACTTACCCATAGATTCTGGGCTGCTTACAGCAACGGAAAGAAAAAGAAAAGGTATTTGGCAAACAAAATCTATATTAAAAAAAAATACAGGTAGTCCTCAATTTACGACGATAATGGACTAAGCAAGGTAGCTGTTAAGTGACTTGCACCTGATTTTATGACCTTTTTGCCACAGTTGTTGTTAAGTGAATCACTGCAGTTGTTATAAGTGAATCTGGTTTACCAGCCTGACTTTCCTGACTGGGAAGGTTGCAAATCGTGATCATGTGACCCAAGAATGCTGAACCATTGCCAATGCATGCTGGTTGCCAAACCTCCAAATTTTGATCACGTAACTGTGTGATGCTGCAACAGTTGTAAGTCGCAAGGACCAGTGACTAAGTCACTATTTCAGTGCCATTGTAACTTTGAACCATCATTAAACAAATAGTGGTATGGCAAGGACTATCTGTATGTTGCTTATCTCAGTTGTAGTGTCGAGTTGTCTTACTGTTGGGAGTGTATTGTTGAGTTGAGGGGGAGGAGATGGAAGGGTATGGAAGAGGTCAATATTTTAGGTAGGAAAAGGCTTTGGGTTGATTCAATTACCAGGTGCCAAAGTAGCTATATTTTCAAACACCTGATGCCTTCTACTGAGGACAGACTTAATGGCTGAAAGATGTAATGCAAATCATTTTAGCAAATTTACATTGCTCTTTCATAAAGGGGTGTTTCGGAAATACTGAGGTTGTCCTGAAGTTAGAAGTTTTCCTGTTGAAATCAGGAATGGAATGGAAATAAAACTATTTCTGTTTTGTCCCAAAGGTGCTTTTCGAAAAGGCAACTGGACTTTCTTGGTGTTTTCTTTGAAAACATTTTGCTTCTCATCCAAGAAGCTTCCTCAGTTCTGAAGAACAGCACAGAACTCAGTAGAACTGAAGAAGCTTCTTGGAGAAGAAGGAAAATGTTTTCACGGAAAAAAACCCCAAGAAAGTCCAGTTGTCTTTTTGAAAAGCATCATGATGGAGAATCTCCATAGACATGTTTCTGCCTTACCTTCCCTATTGCTGTGAATTACCTGCTAGTGATGTCTGTTACTTTAAAAAAGCGACCAGTGGAATTAGTCATTCGTCGGATCGATGCTAATGTGATGTTTTTCTTTCTTATCATTTGCAGGCTTTGACAATGCTGATGACAAACAACATAGAGGTAGGATTTTCTGCTTTGACTTGGCTGAAAGTATGCCCTACCCTAGTTGTGTAAGCAGTATCGTCTGTAAGTTTATGGGATATTCATTGTTGGTCTCTGAAATTTGGAGTGAGTGGCTCTCGAGTTGATCTGTGAAATTATTTTACCCATAATTTATGGCTCTTTCTTTCTGGCTGTCCATCTTTGATCTTTTAATCCTTTCCTTTTTGAAAAAGAGGTCAATGGTCACAGTTCATGGCACATTTTTTTTTCATTTCATAACTAAGTGAACACTATTATGTTACATAATATGGCATTTGGTGGAAAATCAAGCTTTTAAGGAAACCTAGACATTCTTTTAGATGTTTCTAGTCCATAAAGAGTGCAGAGGCTGGCTTATGATATAGCAAGCATAATTGTGGAAGGAATCGGTATGTTTCTTTTATGTCACTATAGATATATTGACGAAGTGGGTGAATGCTGAAAACCCTGTCATAATGTTATAATAATCTGTGCTTAATTGCATTTGGGAAAGGCATGTGGTTTCTGTTTTCTTCGTGTCTGCTTCCTTGCATTTACTAGAATAATCCACTGTAAGTGCTGGAAGACTGGCTTGATCTTCATTATATTCCTAATTTTGGGTTGGCCTTTTGTAGCTTTAGACCAGCGTGTCTTAGCTTAATCTTTAATGGCTCCTAGACTTAGTTTTGATTGGCATTATCTTAAAATCCCTCTGCAAGTCATCATGTCTGTCATCAGAAATCCACCACCCCTTCTTTCATCACACCTCCATAGTAGATGAACTTCCAAAATAAATTATCCATGAGAAAAATGGAGCTCCTTGCAGTTTAAAAGTTGGCCACTTCTGTTCCAATTTATTTGGGTGGTATTTTGTACTTCTGCACAAGAATGCGGGTTTTTGTTTTTACAACCTATCTCATTTATAGGGAACAAAGTATAGGGTGGATCTTAGTATATTGTTGGCTGTTTAGTATTTCTCAATCTCAGCAACTTTAAGAAGAAGTGAGTTTCTTGATGCTCTTTGAGCTTGGTGGTTTTCTTGCAGATGTTTCATTAACCAAAGCACTGATGATGTTACCTAGTTGAGTCATGAAACTACAAGAAAACTACCAAGTGAGTATCAAAGAACCCTCATTTCAACCCTGAGCTACAAATATGTTTATCTCCATAACTTCTTCTGTTTCTTAGTGTTGACAAGTGGGGGCTTGACAGTGAGGTTACCTACATTCCCATCTAATCTATTCTCTCATGACTTATGGTATATGTATTTTTACTCTGTCACCTTTTCCATCCATTCTTCCCTTGTGGGAATTGATGTTTCTTTCCATGGAGGATTCTTGCCTCTGTCAACATATATAATAACCAAGTTCTAAATTTTCTTTATAATACATGTGTTCCGAAATGCACGGAGCTCCTAGTGCATCGGAAAACTCTTTCCATAGCCTATTTTTTTATCCACAGTGCAATTAATTCATCATAGCTCCACAGTCCTAGCTGTGATGCCTTTGTAATAATCACACTTTCTTACAGTGAGCCTAGATGCCTTTGTTTTAAATGTGATATCAAGTTGATGGCCCAGAGTGCTTTTTTCTGAACGAAGTGAGGCTCAGCTTCACAGCAGGAAATTTGCAGTGTTCACTAAAGCTAATTTTTAACTATAACAATATGTCTAGATGACTCCAACAGCTGCAGCCAGAGAAATTTTTCACAGGAACCTTTGGTAAATTAAATTGTATTATTAAAGAGAATAGATAAACTTGGCTAGCTGCTTTAAAGAATGAGGACAGAAGTTCATTTGCATTGGGCGAGAAATGACAATCTAATTCACTTACATTCAACTTGAAAGTGCTGTTTTGAAGATTTCAAACCTGTCTGCCTTGCAAGCATGAATGCTCACTTAATCATCAATAAATTGAATAGTGCGGAGATGTGATTGCATAAGGTAATCTGTGATTGCATCGGCTGCCTTTGGTAGAATGCTCAAACCAGGGGTTGTGACCGAATCCTGTACATTGAGTTAAAAAGCACCCAATTTCTCCCCCCCCCCTCCTGATTCTGAATCCTGGCAGAAACACAGGGCTTGCTTTGTTCTGGCTAACCACATGCAAGTTAAATTTGGCATCTGACGCTATTGGAATCTTAAAGTCACCAAAGGGGAAATGTCTTTGATAAAGATAATTCTCCTGTCCGAGCAGGACGAAGGAAATAGAATTAAAATGGCTTGGTTTGACAAGAAAGAGTTTGTGTCAAGAAAAAATTAGGCTTGGGCCTTCCTCAGAAGCTTCTTGCTACCCCCTCGTTTTGTAGTCTCCAGTCAGAACTGAAGGAGTTTCTTGGATGAGAAGTGAAACGTCTTCAAGGAAAAACCAAGTCCAGTTGTCTTTTTTTTTTTTTTTTAAAAGCATCCTTGGGGTTTTGAAATGTTTGTTTCCTACACCTTGAAGTGGCCTTGCTTCTTCCCATTCCAATGATAGGACAGTTCTCCTTTCCACAGTCTCTCAGAATGAGACTTTTTTTTAATGTGCAGATAACACCTGGGAAGAGCTCTTAAAATAACATCTGCCTCTCCCTGTACTGCATCTTTTTTAAAAAAATGTCTTTCCCTTTGTAAATATTCAAATGACAATGTCCGGGTTTTTTTTTTTTTTTTTAAAAAAGATTATAATCTCATGCATATGGATCCTAATAAAAAGATGGTTACCACAAACGGTTCAGCTCTCTTGTACAATAATACACTTAATGGAGCATGTTAAAGCCATTACAAAACAGACTTTTTGGCAGGCTGGAAGGTGGCCCTTTGTTATTTAGAGGGCAATAATTGGCAACCTTCAGCAATCAGAATTCTGGGTGATTCATTTCTGCCGTCTATCACTGTATTGAATGGGAATCAAAATGCTGTCTTGCATCCATGGTTGACAGTTTGCATGGCCAAATATATATGCCCCAAAGAAGAGGGAGTCAAGCTATGCTCTCCAAAATACCTGAAGGCAGAACAAGAAACAATGGATGGAAACTAATCAAGGAGAGAAACAACCTAGAATTAAGGAGATAATGCCTAACAGGGATGACAATTAACCAGTGGAACAACTTGACTCCAGAAGTGGTGAATGTTCCAACACTGGAAGTTTTTAAGAAGAGACCGGATGGCCATTTGTCTGAAATGGTATAGGGTTTCCTGCTTGAGCAGAGGGTTGGACTAGAAGACCTCCAAGGTCCCTTCCAAGTCTGTTATTCTATGTTATTATAGTTTTCTCTTGATTTGTTCTTCTTAGGGCTGAGAGAGAAGGACTGGCCCAAGGTCACCAGCTGGCTTTGTGCCTAAAGCAAGACTAGCCTGATACTTTAACCGTGATATCAAATAACTCTCACATACCATGTTATAACCCCCCCCCCCTCTATATTCTGACTTCAGAATATAAATGCCCAGTTCACTCAACAGGCGAGTTACCTCAGTCAGACTACAAGCCACCCCACCCCATGCTAATTCTGGAGAAGAACATTTGTCCACTTTTTAATTCATACTTCTCAAACCAGAAGGAATTTGTATGGCAGATTCTATATTTTTCAGAAGGTGTCATACAATTTGCATTTGAAAACATATGCATATTAATTAGTCCACTAGTGATTTGCAGAAAAAATATGCTCTAGCAGAAAAGAACGCAAAGATGCTTGCAAATGTTTGAAGCCTCTCTCCTTTTCCCCACCCCCCACCTTTGTTTCCTTCAAATTCACCAACTGATATGGCAGTGGGCCATACCGAGCATATGGTTTTGAAAGTGAGAAACAAGATTGACAGATTTATTCATCTCTTGTGTCAGGCTTCCCTCTGGCTCATGATTTTCAGTGCAAAGGGTGCTTGTAGTACAGACTAGCTATAAGCATGTTATCAGTGCACACTTTGCTTATCCAGCAATGCCATTCAGTAAAACACACACACACACACACAGAAAGAGAGAGAGAGAGAGAGAGAGAGAGAGAGAGAGAGAGAGAGAGAGAGAGAGAGAGAGAGAGAGAGAGAGAGAGAGAATGCACATACTTGTTCTGAGCAGTAGATCAAATTTAAGAAGAAGCATGGTTTTAAAAATGTCAAATGACATGTTTCACTTCTAACAATCATTTTAATGCAACGGCCCTTGCTTTTTTAAAGTTGACACAACTGACAACTATTCTGCAAAGTAGAAAGGAGGGGATGGGCCATGCATAGGTTTGTATGCTGACAATAATTTCTCTCAAGCAAAAGTAATGCAATCTTTGAATTTCAAGAGCACCTATCACTTAGAACTTGCATGATATGTTTTTTTTTCTGAGAGGAGTTTGTTTGCTAGACTTGTATCCCATATTTCCTCTATGTCATAGGATGCTGGACTCCCACCCCCATTCCCTTGCCCCAGCCATATTGGAGAGTAGATTGTGCTGAGAAAGATTGATTGCCTCAGAGGCATAAAAAAGAGCTTCCCTGGCTAAAGATGTGCTGGAGTCTAGGTTTCCCTAATCTTTAGTCTGACACCTTCACCACTGTTCCTGCAGTGGAATGTAGTCTGGATTCCCAGGAGGGAGGGGCTGCATTCCAGAGGGTAAAGAGACTGCAAAGATTAGATAGCTTGTCCGGGAGGAAGAGAGTTAAGAAAGCTGCTCCCTAGCAATTCTCAAAGGGTATCTTTAATGATGCAAACAGTTGCTTTAGTTTGGCAAGATTCTGTCTATAGGTGAGGAACAATGAAACAATTCAGAAGCAACTCCATATATCTGTGGGCAGGAAGTTGGACAAGAAGATCTCCAAAGTCCCTTCCAGCCCTAACAGTTCAGATGTCTCAATAAAAGGAGCAATCAAGAAGGACATGTTCTGTAGTTTCTATCTCTCCCAAATCACAGAGGCATCTATTACATATATAATATGAAGCATGAAATAAATTAATTTGGCTTCTTTGAGCTTCCGGCTTATTCCACTCTCTCTTCCCTCTCCCTAAAGGAAGTCCTTGAGTTGAGTTGGAGGTCCACCT